GCCCTGGAAATAGAATCCCTTCCCCCATTCTGCATTAGAGACTCCTCCCTGCAACATCTCTGGAGACTTCTCATCAAGGACATAGCTTCAGGTGAAATTGGGGTCAGCTGCTCCTTAGGTTATAAGTAAGTCCATTCACTCAAAACTTCTGAGAGATAGTGACTCTGGGAAGATAAAGGGCAAAAGGGAGCAGTTGGTCCTGGGTTTGGTATCTTTTCCTTCCTTGAGGAGGTTGACTAGCAGGTATGTAACTACAGTGCTATAATGAGTGTTTCTTTACAAGACTATGAGAGTTGAAGTGTGGAAGGAAGTCACATACTGAACATACCTGCAATCCAAAGGTAAGTCAGAGTGCACTGGCTATTGGGAAGTATTTGGGAATCTCCTCCTCACTTCCTTTTGTTTCCTTTGGCTGCTCCAATAATAAATTGTCAAGAAAGACTAGCAAGAGAAAGACATTTATTTTCATGCACACTGAAGTCCGTAAGATACAGAATCGAGTGAATGATCAAAATAGTTTATATAGCCTTTAACCAAAGAAGAAATTATCTGAAGAACAGAGAGGGCAAAGAAATTCTTAAAAGTGTTGATGTGGAGAACTTGTGCAGTGGGCTAAGCAAAGGTGGTCCTCTGAGAAGGGTGAAAGGATGAGGGCATGTTCCCATCTCGGAAGGGTGGGAGCCTTTCATTTCAAGCTTTCCTGGGAACAGAGGAGGAGGGGGAGAAGAAAAATCTACTTTTAGGAGAAAGGGACATTTAGAATATGACTCATTCACTGACAATTTCTTTAATTAGAAATAACACACTACTTGGCACATTTGTGGCCGCTTGATGGGGCCCAGCACCTCTAGGAATGAGTGTCTCCAGTCAAGAGGTCAGGTCAGGTTGAGGTGCTCCCCAGCGGTCTCGGGGTATATCTCAGCACTATAAACCTATGGGCAGCCACTGTAGCATAAGTTCAGTCCCTAGCCAGAGGGACCCACAAGGCGTGGCAGGCTTCTTTGTCTCATCTGTTGCTCCCCTGAGCAGTGTACTTCATCAGTCAGCCTGCTCTGCTCCTCACTGTCTCTGGTGAATCCTCTCACCATCTCTGCACCTCTGGCCTGTACCCCAGTTCTATGTGCACAAATAATAAATCTTTAAAAAAAAAAAAAAGGTGAAAGAAGGGAAGAGGCTTTGCCACGTCTGTGATGTCAGCTGCCCTTGAGGGAGGCACCCCAGGAGCCAGAGGGCAAGCAGCCCTGGGAGAGGCCCAGGTGTGACCAGGGGGACTGGATCACCTGCTAGGTCTCCTTTTCCTCAACGGTCACCTGGAGCAGAGTAGGGCTCCCTTGGTTCACATGGCAAGACCAGGGTCAGATTGTTCCATCAAAACCGGAAGGAGGCTCACACACTTTCTCTGCGGCTCTTTCTCTGTGGAGAAAGTTTCTGCCACAAAACAGGTACTCTCGGGAGGTGTGGATTGGACAGGGGTACTGGCAGTGGCAGTTCTTTGTAAAGTTCGCAGAGTTGGGCCCTTACAGAACTTGCCCCTGACACCTGAAGTCTGTTTGCTGGCTTTTTTTTTTTTTTTTTTTTTGTATTAAATTCACAGGTGTAGTGAATCTCAGTTCCTCAAATTTTCCAAGTACTTGACCATGGCTTTGTAGGGTCCTGACGGCAATGAATGGTATTGATCTCCCCTGTAGAAGCCTAGCCTCCGAGGTGATGGGGCTAGACTCACCACCAGGTTTCAAGAGCCCCTCTCTGGCTAGTTGGGGGAATAGAACATAAACAATGATCCCCATAACCACCAATAAGATGCAGGAAGCTCTGGGGTTTTTTAAAGGTTTATTTTATACTGGGTGGTGCAGTGGGTTAGGACACAGCACTGCAAGTTAGCTGAAGCCACTTCAGTGAGAGTTCCATTCCTGGCCCCGGAGCTGACCCATGTGGCACAGCAGACCTCTCCTGTCTCACCGCTGCTCCCTCAGTAGTGTACTTCATCAGTCTGCCTGTTCTGTTCCCCACTCTGACTCTAGTGAATCACCAACCCTGCACTTCTGGCCTGTACCCCCAGCTCTGTATGCATATATAAATAAATCTTTTTAAAAAACTTTATTTCATTTTTTATGCATACAAGAACTGGGGTGTAGGCCAGAGGTGGGGGTGGAGGTGAGAAGATTCACCAGAGACAGAGTGAGGAGCAAAACAGGCAGATTGATGAAGTGCACTGCTGAGGGGAGCAGCGGGCGAGTCAGGAGAGGTCTGCTGCATCACGTGGGTCAGCTCCCTGGCCTGGAATCAAACCCATGCCTGGTGGCTGGTGATAGCTTGATAGCACTGAGACTTCAACCGCTGCAGCACCAGGGAGCCTAGGAAGCTCTGATTTATATAAATGTATTCATCTGTTGCAGCAGCAAAGTGGATTTTACTGATAGAAGCTACTTTGTCACCCACTGTGGGAAATGAATCTTTCTCATTTCGCCCTTCAAGAGGCCATAGCAGAGTGGTAGGATGAATTTCAGACCAGTGGCTCATAATTAGAGGGTGGGGACCACTGATAATCAGATGTTCCCTCCAGGATTAGAAATGCATGGCTTTGGGGACAGCATGGACTCCACAAAGCCTCCTTATTCCCAACGGGACTGTAAGCTCACTGCAATCGGGGACTTTTGTCTCCCTGGTCACCATGTGCCTGGGACCAATGCTGTGCTTACAAGCCTTAGGAAAAGGAGGCCTAATTACTTGCCAGCCTGCAGGGAAGTAGCTCCTCTGCTCCACATTGAGGCCCTGAAATGCCCATTGCCAACTCCTTCCTCGGGTGGTTGTGTTGGTTGATAAAACACAGGCTATATATTCAATTTGAATTTTAGATAAACAACAGAGCATTTTTGGCCTAAGTTGGTCTGTGCAATATTTTGCTATATTAAGAAATAATCATTGTCTGTCTGAAATTTAAACTTACATGGGCTAAAATGCAGTATTTTCATAGGACACGAGATGGCCACTGTGGAAAGCCTGCTCCTCTCGCATCTGGAATCTCCAGCTAGAGCAGGGTGTCCCAGACATACCAGTTAAGTGCAGAAAAAAAATCAGGATTCTAATTTATGTTAAAACTGAGCTCTGTTGAAACTGATGTTTGCTCCTTGAGCTCCTCTCCTATGTTAGGAGAAAAATGTGAATGCTGAGATTTTCTTGTAGGATGGGAGTCAATAAAAAAAACACAAACAGGGGCCTCCCTGGCGGCGCAGTGGGTTAAACTGCAGCACTAGGAAGCTATCCACAGCCACTGCAGCACAAGTTCAATCCCCAGCCAGGGAGCTGATCCACATAGCACACTAGACCAATCCTGATCCGCCTACTGCTCCCCTCAGCAGTGTATTTCTGTACATCTGTCTGTTCTGCTCCCCACTATGTCTCTGGTGAATCCTCTCACACCCACACCTCTGGACTGTACCCCAGTTCTTGTATGCATAAATAAATAAAATCTTAAAAAAAAAAAAAAAGGAAAAGGAAAAGAAAAAAAAAAAAAAAAAAAAAAAAGAAAGAAGTTACAGGAAAGGGGACAAAGGAATAAGTTACAGGAAAGGGGCCTTCCTGGTGGCCTGTGGGTTAAGTCTCAGAGCTAACA